ATACCAAATATATCAGTATATATACAGTATATAATTATATAAATTTATATTATTTATATATATATGTTATACACTCAGTATTATTCTGTTATTTTATATCTCTCGGGAATTCAATATAAAATCTTGCTTTAGGTGTAAAAGTACTGAAAATTAAACTCTGGTAGATATGAATTTTTATTGGAAACATACTTAATAGACGTCCAAATAAATATAAAGGAAAGCAATGGACCAAAAATAAAACTTTATATTGTATTTATATTGTAGTCATTTTGAATTTGGAGTCTATTTTTGTTTTGCATTAAATAAATGAAAATATTTATTTTCAACTTTGGACTATCATTTCAATTGTTTTGTAAAATTATAGATAAACATGATTTCATTACACAACTCATTCTCACAAAAATAATTTAAAATTTAACCTCAGGTTTAGTACTGTATAAATAAATGTTTATATAAAGAAAATTTTTAATGTAATTTATAATAATAATAAACTTTATTTGTAGACATTTTTATTATTATTTTACTAAAATTAACTTAATTTATTGTATTATATCGGTATAACTTAACTTATAATGCATTAAATATTTACATAAAACATTTAACTAATTATATCACTAAATATTTAATTTTAAAACAGTTATATAATTATCAATATTATTAAAAATGTAAATAATTTAAATAAAGATCTTTTATTAACTTAAATATAAATGTATTTTTAAATAAATATAACTTTATCATATTAAATTAAAATTTTAAATATAAAAATTCAACTATAAACTATTTTAAATAAATATATTTAAGTTATGTGAGTAATAATGTTGCAAATAAATAGCAAAACATATATTTAAAATTATTTCAATATTATTTGAATGTATTATTGACTTAATTTAAACAAAGATTTATATTTATGTGTTTAGCATAATATGAATTTATTTGATGACATAAATTTTCATTTGGTTTTAGTTAACACTATATTGACTTTTATGAGCTAATACTTTATACTGTTATTATTTTTTTGCTATTAGATTTTATTTTTATATTTTTGACAAAAAACAAATAAAATATCCAAATATTTAATTTTCTCAAAGTATAATATTTTTTTGTTATATTATAAAATATCTATTACACAATTATTAAAAAATATTATTGAATTCATTATACAATGTTTGTTAATAGAAGTAATTTATTTAACCGCCTATTAATCTTATATCAAATCATCGCAATACTAATAATTGTAAATTCCCTGCGGATATGTCTACCAATAGCCTAATGTATACATTATTTGCAATTTATTTAATTTAAATTAGTCGACTACATAAATCAATTAAATTTTATGTAATACTAAATAATTTTATGACTAACAATAACTGTAATTTGATAAATAATTTATTTAAGAAGCAATGTTTGTGACAAAAAATAAAACACACATAAACTAAACAATCATTTTATTTCATTAATAATGCTTTTATCTAACAGTTGTATAATAATAACTAATGTAATGTATATTCATTATTATTCAACTCATTTTTAAATAGCTTCGAGTAATAAATTGATTATTGAAAGTACAGTTATGTAAAGTTATTAAATCAAACTTATTTAACTTATTATTTTTTGAAATAAATACAAAAGTTTTATTATGCTATATATATATATAAAGTTATTTAAAAGGAATAGACTTCTTAAAGCTAATAATTTGCATTGAATACAATAATATAGTAAATCAAGTGTAAGATTGAAAATTGAAAAAATAGCTATAAAAAGACTACAAAATAGGCAGATGTTTGACACAAAAAAAACTATTAGATATTTAAAGCAATAATAGTCGCATAAAATAAGTATTTTCCATCAAAGGAGCACTTTTGACTGTAATATACATTATATAAATAGACTTCAAGTCTAAAAATAACTATTTCAGTCATTTTGTAAATTTACAAATATGTTGAAACTTTATGTGAACTCTATTTCGACAAAATATTATTATTATTACGATATTATCATAAGTTTTATATAATGAATTATTTAGAGAAATTCATAAAATAATTATATTTATTTAAAAATTTCAATTTTTCTACACCTTTGTTGTCTAACCGCACACATTACAAACTATGACACAATTATTACATTTACAACACTATTTCGTCTAATATTATTACTCATCAAAAAAGTACCGATAAAATAGAGATAATAAATTCGACAAATTTATCTTTAATAGTGTATATCTATTATGAAAACTTATATCTATATAATAATAAGGTTATATAAGTATTTTTTATAAAAACAAAAAAAACTAGAGTATAAATACTTATTTTTGCAACTCAATACATAATAATTTTAAGTTTAAAAATTAAAAAAAACAATAATTTAATGATTCAATGATTTAAACTAAAATATATAAATTTTATTAAATTCAATTAAATTGATAGCTTTATTTAAATTTAGATGTATTAATAACTAATATTTATTTTATTTAATAAAATTGAAAATAATTATTATTGATTATCATCTTAAAAAACATAAATTTACATATTAATTTGTATCCAGTTAATATATATTAAATTAGCTAGAATGCTGAAATTGCCAAAAATATTTAAAGTTAATTTATTATAATTTAATTAATTAGATAATTCTCATAATAATTAGAAAATACAGTATTATAATAAAAGTTAAATATTTAAAAATGCAGTATTACAAATATATAAATTATTTGTTATCAAAATTATATAATAATATTAAATATCTTGAATATTATATTATATTATTAAAGTAGAAAATTTATAATTATCAATTATACTGTATTTTAAATACAATTTTAATTTCACAACTTTAAATACAAACTAAAAAAAAGATCCAAAAATTTAATTTTGAAAATAATAATTATTTAATTATTATTTTAGTTATCATAATTTTTAATGATATAAACGAATGATATCCATAAAAATAAATATTTAATATTATTTAAATTATCTGTTTTAAAGACATTTATTTATTATAAAGACTACTTGTAAACATAAATAATTTTATTTAAACAGATTTAAGTATTTAAGTATATTATATAAAAATTAAACTAAATAACTATTAAATGAAAAATAAATATAAATATAAATATATAAAAATTTAATTTAAAATACTCTTTTTATATACATTAAGTCAGTTTATATCTTTTTATATCAATTTGTTAAACTGAAACTGAAAATTAACAAACTAAACATATGTCACGAAAGTAGTAGTCATATATATATATGACTTTTTAAAGTGTGTACTGATATTAAACCTAAATTTTTAAGAATTTTTTTTTTGAAAACTTAAAATACAATATAAAAGTCAAAACTAAATATAACATGTTTTTAGATTCTCAAATAAATAAAGTATTGTATAACATACGACATACTTAAACATTTGACATTTTGGTGTCAATATTTTATTTAAATATATTTTACATAAACCTTATGCTATATCAATATTTCGTATTTACAATACTCTTATTGTGCAAATAGTATGAACAATACATTGACATCTCCAAAAATCTATGTGTTAATTATAATAAAAACATTTTGTAAACATTTAATAATACAATTACAAAAATATAAAGCAAAAATAATTGTCAAATACTTATATTGTTTTTTTCTAATCAAATTACAATCAAAATCACAAATAATCGGATTATTTAGTATATCAACAAATCTCTGGAGTACATCTTATTTCGATTATTATTAAATTAAATACTAAAATCGATAACTTTTTTTTGCTATAATTGGAAACTTATATAAATTTATAGTAAAATACTTGTTAGCTATAATATCAAAGATATAAAGTTTAAAAATAACTATAATGATAAAATAACAATTAGTATATTGGAAATTTTTAATAAATCAATCATATTATCATTTGAAACAATTCAATACTAAGCACTACAGTAATACACTTTTTTATCACAACTTATTAATTAATCTTTACTTATAGTATATAAAACTCATTTTATAGGATCATAAAAAATAAAGTAATTTATGTTTTATAAATTATTTTATTGATATTATTATTTATAGTTCATTTTTGTTTAAAAATAAATTATTTTGTCAATGGATCAGATATCTTTTTTATTAATAATTAATTTAATTTGATTTGCAAGTTAAATTTATATTTATTGATTTATACACAATAAACATACAAATTATAATTTAGTGATTTATTTTTAGCTCAATTTTTAATTTTACAAATATTTAAAATTATATGATAATAATTATTAATTATTTTATTTAAAGATGTATACAGATTAATTTAATAATAAAAATAAAGTTTTATTTAATTTATCTTTTTGTATAAACATTTATATTTATAGACAATAATATATTGATTTATCATATAATATACTACAGTAATAATTCTATATTAACTGGTAGTTAAATAAACTAAAATAAATTAATACAATCAACAGTACAGGTATAATAAAATATGATAAACACCTGATTAACTGATTAATGTTTTTATCTATGAAACTGCTTGTGCCTCACAGTGACTGTCTTTTAGACTACCAGTGCTACAGATGAGTGAGTAAATTGTAAGCAAATAGAGAGCGCAGGTCTGTCTGTATGTCAGACTTAAAAATATAATGATTTCAATGCATTGATTGCAAAACATTGTAATAAAAGTGTAATAAATTGTATTTATATTATGTTTATAAAATGATAGCAGAATTGATAGTGAATTATAATGTTTGCTATGAATTCTGGTATTTGTTATTGAAATTACAAATATTTAATTATATGACTAACCTTTCGTGCAATTGATTTCTATATTTATTATTATTATTATTATTATATATATATATATTTATATTATCATTTTTTAAAAACTCCTCCATGTATTTGTAATGATTTTTTATATTGTTAAATATATTGTATATTAACATCATATATATAAATTTAATAATAGTTAATATATATATATATATGGTATATAAATAATTTTGAATTTTGTAAAATTTTTGCACTGAATCTCAAATAATTGATTAAATTCTATATTATATGTGAATATAATAGTGTTGTGACAAACATAATGTCAGAATTGCAGGCAATTATAGAATATTCCATACAATTGAATAAATTCGTTAATATAGACCTTTTTCAACGCGGGTTTGTATTTCAAATATATAATAATTTTAAGTATATTAACAATAATATGATTAATATGTTTTTAAACTGTCTTTTATTTATTATATTATATATATTATTGAACGGATCAGTTACTATCAAATACGAGTGTCTCTAAAGCTGTTAAACTGCAAACAAACCCATAAGATTGAAGTCAGTATCAGCGATAAGAAGACTCATACGTGTCATACATCTCAAGCCACTTCTTCGTCAACCGACGAGTCCAACGATGTCTGTCCACCTCAAGAGCCAAACATAGTGTTTCCTCAATGTATTGTTAATGGATGTGCGGTCAGCAAAACATTTCAAATATTGTATAAGAATGAAGAAGTACTTCTCGATGATTACGTCTCCTTTAAAGTCAATTTGATTGTCGACTCAAAGGACTGCTTAAAACAGGTCCGCAAAACAAACTTTGTCTTAGATGTTGAGCTGTGGTTCACTGATCAAGAGTTTGGTGCCGATCACCACAACTCAATTGAATGCGTGTCTTCACGACAACTGATTCTCCACTTTGATATATGTCGTGGTCTTCATTATTATCTTCCAGTAATGTTTGATTATTTTCATTTATCTGCACTCAATCTTGCAATTCATGGATCATTGCTTACACTTTGTCAACCATACATCAGTACGAAGAGTTCAAAATCGGACAAAAAGTTTGGTAATTCAGTTCACGCGACGCCAATCAATAGCTGTAACTTTGGTTACGAATCCATTCTTAACAATCCATCCAATAGTAGTAATAATAAATCTAACGATGAGATTAAAGAAATCCGTTATAGAAGAGCACAACTGATCCATTGGAGACTTACTGCCATATTATTGTCATCCATACAGAGCTTAAAACGTAAAACAGATGAATACTATGGTCTATTGGCTCCGTGGCAACAGATCCGATGCAAACAGCAACCAATCACTCCTAGTATTGATAATCTGAGTAAATTGGCTCAAGAATGCTATAAATCGATTCTCATCAACGAATCGAATCCATCCAATGATTTCATATCATTTCAAAACGATTTATTCATTATAAACGACTCAATAAAACCCGAAGACTTTATATCGACAGTCGAGAGCGATATGGCCTACCTCTGCGGTGTAGCCATACTTTTGTGGCAACAATTCTTGACTGTAGTCTACAGTTCCGACCGAATCAATCAACATCTTTCTAAAGTACATCACTCGCAACGGATTAAGAGATTCTCTGAAGCCTTCTTTTGCATTGAAAAAAACAAAAAGAATTTACACTCTATTTGTGACAATAATACTACTCTTTTCAATGAAATCAGTGAACAGATCCGAAAGTCACCATATCTTTCATTATTACCTCCTTGTGATGTCGAGGTTTGATATATTATTATTATTATCTTTTATGAATAATTAATTTGTTTATTATGTAATATATATTTTTATTACATTACTAATGATAAAAGCATTTCATTTATTTTTTTGAGATGTTTGATAATATTTCTTTATTTGAGTTAATTACAAAATGAATATTTAATGAGAATTAATGCTATATAATTTTTTTTATTATATAAACCTTATATATATTTAACATACAAATTAAAATATATTTATATAAATAATTTATAATAATTTGTTGATAGTGTGTGGCACTCGATGGCGATTCAACAACACTTCCCATTATATATGAAGAGAAGTTTGACTCAGAAGTGACTGCAAATAGGATCTCAACACTCAGTAGTTTGTATTTTGACGACACTTTTGATAATATATTGAAATTAAACGGCGAGACCTCGACTACAGTCAAGCGTAATATGAGAGAGAAAATATTAAATAACATTTCAAAACTTAATTTTGGTACTTATGGTAAACTCAAGGAAGAGTATAGCCCTATAACTACTAGAGCTTCAATGACTAACTTATCTCCAACTGGAGATATGTCTCCAAAAATTATGTCCACAAATACAATCAAGAATGTAACTAAAGAATCGGTGACTTTAGTTAGTTATAAAAATATTGATAATTCAGATAATAATAGTGAATCTAATACTAAGTCAACAAATGTTTCAATCAATAACTTTACAAACGAGTCAATGATTTCTAACTCCTATTCAATGAATAACATAAAGTCACAAATTGGCAAAAGAATGGTTAACAGCGAGTCTTTACCTGATTTAAGTACAAATGAAGTGTTTCTTAACATTAAAAAGCAAATATTTTTGCACCAATCAAGCCATACACCCACCAGACCTGTCAAACCTCCTCATCAATTCAGAGACAACAAATCAAAGAGTGAACGTAAATCGGGCGAAGAGTTTCGCGGAACTATGTATTTCCCGAAACCTCCCAAACAGTTTACAATAGATGAGACCGATGAACCCGATGACCAAAATTTGCAAATTGAAACCAAAGAATTACCAAATGGTGTAAGAAATTTATGTAATAATAAAATAACAAATACACAAAAAAATAACCCAAAGATTGGTGAAGATATTGGTATAAATGAGAGTAAATATACACTTCTCGAGCTTTTAAAGTCAAATAAATGTCTTATTTGTGGCAAATTAAAGTGTGGCTGTTGTGATGACTCCGATACTCTGCCATCATTAAGAAGAGTGTCACAAATTGGTTCAGATCTCGTGTCGTTTGTTAAGGCAAAAGAAGATTTTCGACAACAAATATCTTCGAAGACCAACGGATGGCTTATTTATAGCGATTTTCCGAGTCTGGCCTCTCGTATACCTTATTTTCAATGCGATTCTGACTTTCGTTCATTTAGGTAAATTTGATACATTGTCTTAGTTTTTAAACTTATTTTATATAAAATAATTAACTATTGAATTTTTGCTAAAAATGATATATTGAATAAAACAATTCAATATATTTTAAGTACAATTATATAATCGTTTTTAATTAAAATATTTCAGCATTACTGGAATTATAATTTTCATGAATTTAAATTAATTGTGTTCTCTATGAAAATCTTAACTTATATTAATGAGATTTTTATTTTTATGTATAGAATTTCATCAGAATTTACATAGAATTAGTATTATATTTTTGTTATGTATTAACTGTGTTACTTAATGAATGAATGAATGAATCAATATTATTATTCTGTGTTTTTCATTGCATTTACTTATGCTAAATGAGACTTTCCTTTTGCTAATAGTATTGTAATATTGATAGTATTTCAGTGTTATAGACATCGATTGAAATTTCAATTTGAATTTACTTCTAGTATATTGTAAAACACATACAACAGTACTAACATTATGTTGTAAAAGAATGTAATCTTAATCTAATAGGTTTTCATTAAATCAATAATTTATTTCACATATTATTAAATTATAGCTTTAGTTGTGTAAAGAATTTGTATTTGTTTTGCAACCATCACAGGTAAACATAACTCATTTATCGACATTAAAAATGAATCAATGAATGACTACTCAAAATAATAAAACATTATAAACATTGCATTGGATTATCACTTGGCCTTCACTTTCTAACCCATATTTCAATCAAATATAAACAAACTAAATGCAAATTTGCATTTCTTATCATACAATATATAATAATCTAAAATACACGTATTTGTAATATAAATATATTATACAGTATAAAAATATGTATATTTTAAATTTAAAGTACTCGTAATTTATATATTTATGCATTTTTAAGTTTTTCTTTTATTTAAATGATTAATTTGTTAAAATGTTAATTATCAAGGTCGTTATTTGATTATAATTTTTAACAGTAAATATTTTTTGCCGGCAAATTAAAACATCTGTGTTAATTTATAATTATTTGTTTAGTTTTAAAAATTTATACGTCTATTTCAATATTTAACTAAATTAATGATTTTAATAATTTTTTATGTAAAAATTTAATAAAGACTAAAAGAGCAATTTATTTGGTTTGTTTGATAACTATATATATATATATTTATAATATCCACACCCTTTACACCCTTTCATCTAAACCATTGAATTTTCAACAAACTTTGAAATGATATTTTTGATTGGCTTTTACGAGAAATAATAACATTTATGTATTTCGATACATAAAAATTTTCTATAATAAATAGAGATATTAAAATATATTTAATATGAATATTTGACATTATGTTTTTAAGAGCTATTTGAGTACTATATTAATATATATATTATTAGCGTCTCATGATTTAACTCATTGCTTTATAAAACAAATTATACGATTGCATTGGTTTTGGGTGGGGATCTGTGTCACGACACACACACACATACAGAATATTTTGATAATTTATAACTATAAATTCATTTATATATATAATATCAACAAATATCACAAACTTTTCAATTATAATTATAAATTAATTATTAAAATATTTTTGTTGTTGTTGTAATGAACTTATTTTAAATTTAGTTTATATTATAGTAATAAAATATTTTGATATATTGTTTAATGTAAAAGAAGTATAAATCTCATAAATAATATGTTAAGCGTGAGAATAGGTGTTATTTTTTGTTTATTTATTTCTTATTTTTAATGTATTAATGTTTTAGTTTTAGATCATATTTTAAACTAAATGAATGTATTTTCATCGGCACTCGTATAGCCCTTAAGTTTACAATTTTATTTTTATGAGTGAAAATGTGTGCGAATTGAAAGGCAATACATTAAGACAAATAGTTGTTTATATGTTAAGAGTATGTACTCTAATACATACTATGTAGTCATTGAGCACCGACTGGTCATTAATTATCGATTCGCTTATATCCGCATAAAATGTGTTTTTAGTTATTTGTTTAAAAACATTTTCAGCTAAAAACATACATAGATATTATATGTTTATATATATATAGTTTGAACATTCATTTATAATTAATTATTATTTACAATAAGTTAATGTTTAAAAGAACAAATAGTTTTTAGCGAAATAAATTTTCAAACATCTTTATATAAATTTTTTATTGAAAAACATTTTTAGTATTTTTTATTTTTAATACAGATCAAATGTTATAGTATTATAAAATGTAATTACTTATATTGATGTTTTATAATTTATAATTTTAGTTTATAACTTATAATTAATGTAAATAAAGTTTATAAGATATAACTTATTGATTCTATAGAATAATAATAGAATTTTCTGTATTATAAATATTGTTTTATATATTAACAAATATTGTTAATTTGTTACTTATTAATAGTTAAAATTATATAAAAAACGATATAAATGAGATTCAAATATATTTATTGCATTTTTTATAATAAAATTAATTCTTGAGATTATGTTATTTATTATATATGTAGAACATCAATATACTAAATAAATTGTTTTTATTTTATAAATAATTACATTATTGGAAAATACATTAAAAATATATTATATTTGGAATAATTATTTTCATAAGATCTATAATTTTTATCACTTATACTATTAACAAATGATTTATTTGAATCAATCAATTATATTTGTATCGATATTATTCATAAAATAATGCAGTTGTTAAACAATAATATTGCAATTTTTACGATTGAGATTATTACAGCCATATTTGAATCTATAAATAAATAAATATATTTAAAATAATTCGCATGTAAAATATTATTTACAATAATTAATTTGTATCACATTTTACTAATTATAATTTGATTAGTATTATACTATAATATTTTGTTTTTACATTTAAGTGATACAGTTAGATATATAGCTATTTTATAGTATTTTAGCTATTTATGTACTAAAATATTTTACATGAACAAAAATAAAATAAATTCTAATTAGATTTTCATGATACTATAATATTGTTTTTAGCACCAATTTTTTTAATGGTTCATAATAACTGAGACTAAATTATGTATTTATTTCACGATTTAAAAAACTAATGATTACAACAAAACAATAATAATAATTAATATTAAATTATATGATATCATATTATTATTTATGTTAGTTTCTTCACATTTACATTATTTAGTTATATATTTTTAATAATTATAATGAAAAAACTGTTTCCAAAATGGATAGACTTGTTTTTTATTAATAAATAATATTATGTCTATTAGAATGCATACAATTGAAAGTTGAATTATTATATAAAAAATATTGTATTATATTTTTACAATTTCTGTGATAAAATATAAAAACAAATCAAAATATTTGTACATTTTGTTATTGAGTTATAATATGTTAGAAATCTGAATCAACTATTTTTTTTTAAAAAAAGTAATAGTAATAGTAAAGGGGTTATCATATAATTTAATATTAAATGTAAATTAGTTAATGTTAATGCAATGTTAAATATAATAACTAATGTTCATAAAAATTTCCATTGTATTTATCTGATAATTATTCAATTGAATGGTTCCCGAAATAACATAGGATTATAAATAGTATAAAAAGCGGGTTTTATTTATCTATTATATTCTAATATATCTAATATAGTTATATCTATTATATCTATTATAAGTTATATAATATTATATCTTTTATATTATTGTTTAATTACTACATAACTTAATAAATATTTTAAATATAATCAATTATAAAGTATACAAAAAATAGTGAAAATATCTAAGAAATATTAATTTCGGAATTTGAGTTTACTTCTTATATATGATATTTATTATAAATAATATCAAATATTTTATATTCTAATCAATTTGTCGTTTAATCGGTAATTTAATATTAAATATAAAATTTATCACAAATTTGTCATTTATATATCATCGATTAAAACTTGTAAATATGTATTTTACATTACTATAATCAAAAACCGATAAATTATAATTTCACGTTATATCAAAAATGATTTGAATTTTAATTTTCTAATTACTAATTATTTTCTAAAATGATAGTTAATTATTATTATTATGTAATAAATGAGCCTTGTTCAAATTGCACCAAAACACATAGACTCACTCATTAGATCATTTATTTATTTAGTTTTTGAGTTTTTATTTCAAATATATTATTATGTACAGTATTAATAAGTTTTTAATTAAATTAAATTTAGGCTTAAGTTAGTTTGTAATACAAAATTTGTTAATAAAATATTATAGTCTTTATATAGACTGTAATATAAATAATGTAATATTGTTTAGTATTAAGTCATGAACTATATTATGAAGAGTTAATGCAGTGAATGACGAATGACTTATATAACGCTTTTGGCTTAAAATTGGAAAACAGATTACTATGTATTCAAAAATGAATGTATTATATAATATATTCAGTAATACATTGAATATTCTTTACTCATATTATTAATATAGAAATTACTCTCTCATGTCTTGATTGATAAAACTAAATAATACTATATTTTTTTTAATAATATAGACATCATTTTGTCTATTTGAAAAATTTCTATTTAATTACTTTATCTCATATTTATATATATACAGTATATATCAGTGTTAAGCAATGTTTTGGATTTTAGGGGAGTAGAGAGTGGGTAAAATAAATTTTAAAAATCTCGATAAATGTTGGGTATTGTGTGGGGTATACACTTTTATTGCAATTTTAAATGAAAATTTTTTCAAGATTTTCAATTTATTAAATTTTCTGAATATTTTAATTAAAATTATAAAAATAAATAATACTTTGCTTTTAAAATGAAAATTTTAAATAATTAAATTTTACAGTATAATTTATTATTATTATCTTAAAATATTTTTCAAATTGTAACATAATTTCATTTTTTGAAGAAATAAAGAATTTTTAAGTTTTTCAGTTACATATGTTATATTTAGCCTAATTTTAACGTAGTTTAAACTATTTTACTAATTTTTACTAAATAATTCAATTTCAATTTTATAAAGACACAAAAACAGTTAACAATTATTAGTCAAAATTTAAATTTTTATAAATTTGAAAAAATCGATCATTTTTAAAGAGAAAATCTTCGACTTATAGGGTATTTTTACCCCTTTTTTGCTTAACCCTAATATAAATTATATATATTTCATATTTAATTATTTTCAAGATTAAAACAGACAAATATTACTCATCTTATATAACATTTTAAATATTATAAAATAAAATATTCGTTAGTTTAATAATTTATATTATTGATATATTATATATTTATTCATTATATTATTATTATTTAAAATTAAAAAGTTGTAATATAGAAAATAATTACCCATCTCTTAACTAACAAAAAACACTCGTCATTTTTTTAAATAATTGTATAAAATTAAATTTAACGGTAACAATATTATACTGCATAGGATATTAGGATATAACTAAATCTTTTTGGCAATTTTATGATTATATCATATAATAGTTTGTATATTATTTAATTTAATATATCAAAATCGATTGATTTTTAAAATTCAATTTTGTATTTTTAATCACATTTTTATTATATAAACTTATAATGATTAATACACTTATTCTAATTTATTATCTATATATATAAATTATACACTACCATTAATCTGTATATATATATTAAGTAATAAATTGTGGTTAAAGTAATTTATATACATGTATGTACACTACATTATATTACTGTATATTATAATAGTTACTCGACATCCCTAAAGCATTTGTATTATTATTATTATTATAAATAAGTTACAATTGTAAGCTATCTCGCAATCTCTTTAACTAAACTTTTCTTTGTATAATTTTTTATCGATTTATTTAAAAGTTTTACTAAGTATAGAATACATACTTATAGTTATTGATATAAAAAAAATATTGAATAATGTAAGTCATATCATTCAAAGTTGTGCGATATTTACTTTTTTATCATCTTTTTTATATTTATGTATTTAAACTTTAATGCATAAAAAATTAGCTACAAAATTATTTTGTATAAAACATTATTTAATATGTGACTAATATTTGTTTTGATCAATAAAATTAAGTAATATTATTATTATAAATATTATACTTAAGTATAAATTAATTTTTATACTAAATCTTTATTTTATTTTGCAAAAATAAAATAAAATAAATATTGAATGATATTTTATTTTGTTTAATAATAATAATAATAATAATTTTTTGATGAGTTTTATTCAAATTCAAAATTGTATTATAATATATTAATAAAAATATTACATTTCAAACACTATTTCACATGACTTATAATATAATTAAGTTAACGCTTCAGTGCTCTATTGAATACCAATTATAGGATAGCATTAGATATTAAAATCTATTCAATATATTTTTTCAACAATATTTCATCTAAATATTTTATATAATACTATTGCACTTATGATTGTAATGTTTTTTTCAGTTTACTAAATAGTTATTGTATTTTAAAAACAACATTTCTTATTATTTCATAATTATGTATTTTGTTAGCATTTCGGTGTATTCAATATTTATTTAAAATTAAATACAATAATCATCACTCATTTGATAACAATAATTATTGCTATCGAAAAAAATAAAATTGTATTTGAATTTATTACTTTATTTTTTATTATTATATTGTGTATTGAATTGATGATAAATTCTACATTTTTATTTTTTATATATAAACCTATTAGCTAAGATTTTATAAAAAGATAAAAATAAGCAAAAATTTCAAATGAACCATAAAATTACTCTTAATTTAATACTTGAGTTATGACAAGTGTTGGCCCTTAGGGCTGACCATATTCCTAATGTTTAATAGTAATGCAATGATAAATGTTTAAAATGATGTAAATGTTGATTACAGTTCACAGAAGGACGGTCTCCATCTGATAATATGTGTTCATGGATTGGACGGCAATAGTGCGGACCTGCGTTTGGTGAAGACATATCTTGAGTTGGGCTCTCCGACCACAAACTTTGAGTTTTTGATGTCTCAGCGAAATCAAGGCGAGACCTTTGATAACTTGGATTTGTTGACACAACGACTCGTTCAGGAAATCAATTATCACATTGAAGTATACGCTCTAAAGCCGTCCAAAATCAGGCGAGTCTTCATTCATTCGTTAATTTCTATATTAATATAGCACTGGTTTTTTGCATAACATTTTTATCCCATATTTATACTCTTATATGGGATATAGATTGCATTGATTTTATTAAAACACGAGTTATAACTTTACTATCAATTGAATGTTTAATATACAAGTGACTGGAAATCATTCATCAAAAACTGCACATAATGTCTAACTTTGATATCATATAATCGATAATTGATATGAAAAACACTAACATTAATGACTTTCCTGTCCTTTGCCATCATCTGATTTCTTTCATTTCATAACTCAATTTGAAGAGATGTTTGAATAATTTCTTCAGACAAACTCAGCACACAATCTATACTTTATGCCAATAATATAGAAAAACCAAAAATAAAGAAATGCATGGATTTATTGTGAAAAATATAACAATAATTTTTATATACTTTTTTCATTATCTTTTACTAAAAAATATTGTTGAGTCTGTTTTTGTCTTTTTCTTATCCAAAATAAACTCCTATTTTTGATATATATTTTACTTATTTTTTTAATACTATATATATTAAGAACTTATTGAAGGGAAAAATCCATTTAAAGAGAGACTCAATGCTAATGATTAGGACATAAAATGCTTGTTTGTGTCTATCGATTGTCACACAAACTGCAATCAAGTGAGCCATGGATTTAAGTTTTTGTGATTTGATTTTTGCTTTACTTAATGATTGCACTCCTAATTATAATGATCTCACTATTTTGGATCAATATTTACCACAAAATCAACATTTACAATACATATATATTTATACAGTATAACATGTTAGATAAGTCCCATATTATTCAATATGGTATATGTTCTCATTTAATCATTATTTTTAAAGCTCTGGTATTGCATTTTAAAAGATTACATTTTATTTTATTACTAATTTATAGAAATTAGTAAAAAAACATTTTATATTATTGTATAATATAAATAAGAATTATAAGTTATATAATAGATAATTGTATATATTGTATAATATAATAACAATAAGAATTTGAATTTAAAACAAAAATTAGTTTTTGTGTGTAATTTTGATGAAAATATTTGGTATCACATAATGTGATGAAAAAAATTGTGAGAATTAAGTCCCACAAGAATAGTGTATAACAAAAAATGTATTGAAAATAAAATCCTTAGTTTTAAAAAACAACTCTTTATTCAATTGCAAAGTCATTATTACTACTATTTTTATTTAATATTTGGTTTGTTGTCGACTATGTGCTACAAAAAATGTATGAATGAATAAATGAATGAAATAAAAAAAAAGATCGATTGGATTCATATATTTTTTATTAACGTTTTTTAGTGACACTTCATATTAAAATACATTTCACAAATTGTTTATAATTCATGAATTGTCACCAGTATTTGGGTTAATAATGAACAGTACTTTTAAAATAACAAATACATTATATATATTTGTATTTAGTTATTGTTTTATAACAATATTAATTAACTTAAAACCATTACTTTTACCATAACTTTTGGCTTTTTAGTGATAGTTTAGGTATACAAACCACTTGAGAATAATTAACTAATACATTATTATGTGATTACTAAGTTCAATGTTTTACATTAGTTATACAGTGTATATAGTAATGATTTATTGAACAAATTTTTAGAAAATTTTATTATAAAAATCCAAATTTGTTTTACCTATTGATAAAAAATTTACGTGAAAAAGTTTGCAAATTAACTTTTATAAAATAATAGGAATTTATTTTCAATATTTTCAATATTTTTACAATTATTATTATTATTATTAATTTTTACAAATATAAATTAAATAAAATTTAAAGTTTAATATGGATTTGTGAAACAATAAATTCCTATGATTTAAAAATTTAAATTATTAATTTGAATCATATTTAAAAGTAAAATTTATTGAAAATATCGAGGTCTAAAAATATAATTATCTAAATTTTTAATTTTTTTGTTACTTGAAATTTTATTATTAATTTTGTTATTAATTTTTTTTATGAAAATGCTATATAAATAATAATAATAATAGTACTGTAATAACAAATAATAAATAATAACAATGATTTTTATATAATAAACAGGGAATTAGTGTCTATGAAATCGTGCGTTAATAACGATATTTTATTTTGAATTTAACTCAATTGTTAGCCAATGGTATGAATCAGAAAATCATATGAATTTTGTAATGTTTTGGTCAATAGATTCATTGATTTGCGATTCTTTGACTTTTTTTATTATTTGTGAGAACACAACATAATTCTAACACATTCTTCACCTGTTATCACATTTGACAATACATTTGTACAATACTTTGCGTGCAATCATATTAACAACCCTCTCTCTCTCTCTCTCTCTCTCTCTCTCTCTCTCTCTCTCTCTCTCTCTCTCTCTCTCTGTCTGTCTGTCTGTCTGTCTCTCTGTCTGTCTCTCTCTCTGTCTGTCTCTCTTTCTCTCTCTCTCTCTCTCACTCACACATTCATCCATTTATTTACTGATATTGTGTTGACTCGTGACTTAAACTGTCATTTCTTTCACTATACAAGTGATAATGCAATTGAGCTGAAAATACAATCGATTTTTATTGTATTTTTCATTTTTCATCAAATGTCTGATCCGTAAAAAGATTTTTTAAAAACTAGAACTCATTTGTGAAGAAAGAGATTGTGAAGTCATCTCATTATAAAATCTTCTCTTTTTTCTAAACAGACTTAAATCATAACACTTCGTCATTAAAATTTGAAGTCAATGTCTAATATTTTTCATATTATTATATTATAATTATTTAATATATTTAAATGAATAGATAATTAAAATTATAAGAAATGTTTCAATATATGACTTTTCAATGAAATGCATATTTTTCTTTTGATGTCAACTGAGCTCTTATTTATATATTTATTAAATATGATTTCAAATGTCTTGTGTTTACTGATAACAATTATTTATGGAAATACTATTATATATGACATAACTTATAATAGGTTTTATATATTCCCGTAATTCATTTTTCCCAATTTAATTTAATTTAATGTAATTTACTGTAATTTTGGTAATTTATGTATTTTTATAAATATAATAAATTAATTATTTTAGAATTAGTAAGAATTAAAAATATGTTTTTAAATAAAATGTAAAAATAATTAATATTTCATTTAAATTATTTTGCAATTATTTTTTTATTAATAAATTTGTAGATAAGTAGCACATGCTTTGTAATTCATATGTAATTTAGATATAATTTAGACGACTAACTACCATAATTATAAGTAATGAGTAAAATATAAACGTTGAATAATAATAATAATAGTAATTTGTATGCAATTACAATACTATTTATCAATCTTTAGTAAAAATGTCTTAAATTTCATTTTTCACACGTAATACAAGTATATATTGTTACAAATAATGTATTTCTCGGTTTGTGACAATCGCTGATAAAAAGCAGAAAATTATATTTATTTCGATGGCTTTTCAGTTGATTCACTCAATGCATGTGTCAGTCAAATGTCTTAGAAATGCATTGAAGCCGTCATATACTGAATAAGTTGCCGTCAAATGAGATCCTTAACGGCTGTCACACTCACTGTTTGCCGTTATTATAGTTGGTTTACTACCGAAGGGGTAAATATTTACTTAAAGCTAAGAAACCCTTTATTATAATTCAAATAAGTTTAACACATAAACTATTGACGACAATAACAACATTGTCTTTGAATTGTATAATTTGACACAAATTTTGAGTTTCCTTTTATTATTTAATTTTGAGTTTAAAAGAAAATAGAGTTTATATTGAAAAATGGTTTATACAAAATATGTTTATTTAGTTAATTATTTTTTTAATGAGAATAAATTTGATTGTAAGCATTTTGCTATTTTAATTTGTATTACTAGGGAGTAGCTTATGTTGACGAAAAATAATAAACTTTAATCTATGATAATTGATATTAAGTAGTTTTAAAACTATTTACAAATTTTAATCATTATCGCAATTAAATATTTTATTTTTGCTAAATTTATTAAGTAATATAATTAATTATTATGAATAATATAAATTAGATCATACAGTATATGTTAATTATAGACGTGAATTTGTTTTACTTTTTATGAATTAAATGTTTATTCAAAATTATATTTAAAATTAATTTTTTAAATTTATATTTCCAGCAATTTATGTATATTATAAATAATAATTTAAGTATTTTGTTTGAATATTTGTAAAATTTCAGTAAATTAAATTATGTATTTCAAATGAAATTTAATATAAACTGGATTATCCATTTTAAATTAAATTATATAAGAATATAACATAAAAGACTCAATTAAAGACTAGTTTTAAACTAATACTTTACATTATTATACTGTTTTTTGTATTACTTTTTTACATGTTTTGTGTTTTTCAAGAATTGAATAAAATTTATTAAATAAGTAGAATAATTTTAATTTAATTAAAATTTTGTTGAATAAATATTAAAGTAAATAACTTACAGATTATTATTTTTAATACCATAACATACTATATATTATTTTTAGATTTTTAGTGTTTATAAGCGATTATTATTAAAAATCCCTTTGGTTTGTATCTGAGTCTTATAGTTAAACAAAATATACTTAAACTGAATATTTAGTTTATATTATAATATACAGTAGATTATATTAGTATTATCTCTACAGCATTACATTATATAAATTTATAGATATATTAAATATAGTACTCATTTTATTTAAGTATAAAGACATACATACTGATAGTGTGATCTCTTCTTGTCGCATAAAATATTTTTAAAAGTAATTTTATTTTTGTAATAGTCCTAGCAATGTTTTTAAATTTATTTTTTGATAAAATATAACATAGATTATTGGTCTTTAAGTATGCTAAGAAATATTTGTTATATCACTTTAAATGGATCCGTTACACTGCTTAAACTCTCATGACATTCAGATAAGATTTGTGATAAAATTTGAATATTGTCCCAAAACTAATCCATC